TGGTTAAACATTGGAACAGGCTGTCCAGGGAAGTGGTTGAGTCACCATCCCTGGAGGTATTTAAAAGACGGGTAGATGAGGCGCTTAGGGACATGGTTTAGTGGGCATGGTGGTGTTGGGTTGACGGTTGGACTCGATGATCTTGGAGGTCTCTTCCAACCTTAATGATTCTATGATTCTATGATTCTATGAACATAAATTTCACCAACAGAATCCTGTAGCCCAACCAACCCACCAAAATATGGATTGTTTCCCTCTTAAGTGGAATCCATAGAATATGCTTTTTTATACAATGAGGAAATCTGTTCAAAGATTAAAGGTACAAGAATTAAACTTCTGTCTTAAGGCTAAATATAGCACATACTGTTAGAGCGCCTTGCTGCTTTAGCTTCTCAAACGCTTGTTTTGCAGCAGCTTGTTTTGCAGTAGCTAGAGAAGCTCCAGTGCCAATTCCATACACAAAACCACTAATTGTACAGCTACAGGAAAACCTGTAAAATACAACAGGGAATAAAGTCTTATATACCATATGACAAGTCTTAATTTAATGATTTTAAACACTACAGTCAACTGACATTATAGAGTGGAGATCTGAAATATACATCTTCAGGACAGTCTTTGCAATATATATTTAATCTAATTAATAAAGGTAGGTAACTAATTTGACATGCCTTTAAGATAACCAATTTTCAGAGAGTGAATATTTAGCACTTTTTAAGGTTGAACTCCTCAAAGCGTCATATCATATGCACCCACAATTAGAAATTATCTGCAGTTTAGGTTTTAAAATGGCTGATTTTGCAGGGGAAGAGAGGAGGAGTTTTCCAGCAGATATTGTCAAGAGTGTTAAAATATGTAGATATTCTTTATCATCCCTCAGCTATCATTAGCTGGAACGTTTCTACAACTCACTGACTGCAATACATACAGAAGGGGACACAAACAAGCTCTCCCTGGTACTTGGTTCCTAGAGGTCTCCAAAATACATGCCGAGAGGTCCACAAAGGTGCCAGAGCTACAACCAAGTAACTGACAATTTGTCAACACTGACTACAATTTTATCATCATGCCACCTCTTCTCCCAGCTAAACAAATTCAGTCCTCTTAGCCTCTCCTCCAATGCCATATCCTCCAACTCCTTAACCACCTTGATGGCCCTCCACTGGGTTTTCTCCAGACTACCTCCAAATTTTTATTGTATTTCTGAAGATTTATCTAACACTACTCAGGGTAACTAATGGTAGCATTAGTAAACACAAAGAAGCATTAAAAGCAAGTACGAAGACAAAGTACATCTTACATGGGAGCATGGGCATCTCCCGTACGTTTGGCAGGATAATCAACTATTAGCAACGCCTTTTGTGAATACATATTTAGTAGGCTGACATAGTCGCTGGCTGGTACAGATGCTAAGGTCACTGGAGTTGTCGTTAATTTTGTAGCTTGCATATTTGAAGGACTCTCTGGCTATAAAACAAATGAAATAGGTAACTTAAAAACTTAAGCTTAATAAATAGATTAAGATAAACAGTGCACGAGATCTAATATAGCTGCAAGGTTTGTCAGCATCTCAACATATTTTTAAGAAATCCCAAGTTTGCATTAACAGAGTCCCTTGTGGCAAAGGACAGCCATCCCAACCCAGAATTATTACATTTTGAATTTCCAAAGAAATGTAAATTCAGTTTTCCAAGTATCGCACCAATGTCTTTAACAACCTATCACCATGTCTCCTCCCACCTCTTTTAAGAAAAGACAGGGAACGAGCTGTGAAATCTCATTAAAAAAAAGCAAATGCTGCCTTCTGAATTTTCTCACAGCCTGACCAGAGCCAAGAAAAGGGATGGCAGCAGGATGCTACTGATGCTGCCATTAGCAAGGGCTGCAAATGCGCCTGTGCATGTACAAGAGGGGAAAGCAGGACTTTTCAGCTCTCTCATGATTAGGCAGCATTAATAATATATTAACAAACATGCAGCAATTGTGTGAAAGTAATGATGGTGACACAGTAAAAAGCATATGGAAACAGGTAAGAAAAGATTTCACTTGAAAGGTGCTAAGCTGCATTCAGAATAAAAAAAAAAAAAAAAAAAGAATGGCTACCCCAAAACTCGTGGCAGAAAACAAAGGAACAAAATTAATTCAAACCTAAAGTAAATCAAGGAAGGATAAAGAACATAGAACCATAAAGAATATAATGACAAGGAAACAAAGATGAATCAGATCAAGTGAAAGTAAGCAATTTTATGAGCAGAGTGGCAACAGACACACTGAACAATGCCCTGCAAATGTTTTGGGGATACTGAATTACTGAACAGTTGTCAAGACGAAAAAGGAACACTGTCCACTCTGGATATACTAGCTTAACAAAGGCAAATACGTTTCCTCACCCTCCTGTAACAGCAGAGGAGGAAACACACTCGATATTACATACCAACCCCGCAGTAGAACAATAAGGAAAATAGCTCAGTGGAAGAAAGTAGAAAAGCACTGAATAAGACAGAGACAACTTAAGTAAATAATTAGAAACTCTTCCAAAATAAAGAAAGCAATGACATTTTATTGACTACTTTTAGAGATTCATCTTCAACCTTTACTAGCAAAAAAAAAAAAAAAAAAAAAAATCCTACAGTTTACTCACCTGTTTCTCAATCATTTCCCAGGTTTTTTTTGCTGCTACTGCTTTTGCTTCTTTCTTATTTTTACCAGTGCCTCTACCGTATTCTACATCGTTTATTTTAACCACAAATGTGAACCTGCAACAAAGGAAACTTTTCTAAAACATTGTTACTATTTGTCTCATATATACTTAATTACCTTCTCAGATTCAACTTTCTTTTTAGTATCTACAAAGCACTGTAAGTTAACTGTGGAGGTATTTAAGTATTCATGTGTTTTTATTATATCTAACTCCTGATTATAATTCTTTAGTAGAAATATTTTTAAATGTTTCCTCCCTAGTCACAAATGCATGTACTTTATTAGTTCTAACAGCATTTTTAAATGCTTAACTGCTTTTTAAAAGCAAAATTACTTAAATCTTTAAAAGCAAAAGAATGCCTAAGGTCAGCATTGTTACAGGCAAGGTTGTGAAGCCCTACCACCAGGACACATCTCAGCACTACAAAACTCTATGGAGAGGAAAGATTAGCTAATCTTGATTTCATGGATCCAGAGATGACATTACACTCACCTTTGACACACTGCTACATACACTATTTAGTAAGTGCAAAAAACGTGCCTGGTGCTTCATGAGACATGAATTTAAAGGCAGTCCCAAAAAACAAAACAGTCCTGCCCTTCCACACTCAGCCACTGATCCCTTCCCCCTCCGTTGCACAACTGTGCACGCACCGCTTCCCACACAGCAACTCCGTGAGTCAGAACAGAGAACTGATGCAGCTCAGGACTGACTGTACTGAGTCTGGCTGGGATGGAGCTAATTTTCTTCATAGCAGCTGGTATAGTGCTATGTTGTGGATTTGGGACTAAAACAGTGTTGATAACACAACAGTGTTTTACCTATTGCTGAGCAGTGTTTGCACAGCATCAAAGCCTTTTCTTTTTCCCCACTCTGGCCTCCCAGCAAGTAGGCTGGGGGCGTGTGAGAAGCTGGGAAGGGACACAACCAGGGCAGCTGGCCAGAGGGATATTCCATGCCATATAGCATCGCGCTCAGCAATAAAAGCTGGGGGGAAGAAGAAGGAAGAGGGCACATTTGGGGTTATAATGTTTGTCTTCCCAAGTAACCCTTATGTGTGATGGAGCCCTGCTTTCCTGGAGACGGCTGAACACCTGCCTGCCCATGGGAAGTAGTGAGTGAATTCCTTGTTTTGCTTTGGTTGCACATACAGCTTTGCTTCACTTATCAAACTGTCTTTATCTCGATCCACAAGTTTTTCTCCCTTTCACCCTTCCGATTCTCTCCCCCATCCCACTGGGGGGGAAGTGAGTGAGTGGCTGGCTGGGGTTTCGCTGCCAGCTGGGGGCAAGCCACCACAGTGACCTAATAACGAATGGTTGGTTTTCAGCCAAATCAGTTCTTCCCCAGATCCGACTTGTCCTGCAGCTGCAAAATCCCTAACATTTCTGCTACTGCCTTTGCACAAAAGGCAACAGAGGAGAAAGCAACAACTAGATTTCTGCTTGTGGCAGCAGCACAGGCTTGCATCAAGTTTAAGTGACCGTTACTATACCCTCAGGGTACGTCTGTACTTCAGATTGCAGCAGAGCATATAGATACTCAAGCTCACAGTCAACAAGATAGATTCACACAAAGAAACAGTCTAGGTATAACACCATGAGTTTCTCTGTGGGACAATTTGTCTCAAATAGTGGAATGACTTCAGGAATTCACTTTTTTCATTATTCCAACTTCACTTTCCGCTTCCCTTTAATGAAATGTTAAGGTGAAAAACAATGCAGATGCAGAATAGTGCTTGCAGTCATTGCGTAATCAAGTCTTAACGAGAGATCTTAAGGAGGTAAACAGTAGGACAAGGCACACCACAGTGTGCCACATACTCTACACATAGGAAACAGCATACAAAAAAAAAGCATGAAAGAAAGATTGTTCTTTGGGAATGGGTTTGTTAGCCAACCCATATCTAAGCGCTGAACACTACACACATTCAGCTATGACTTTGCATCCAAAATCCACCATTTTATTTAAGCATCCCGAGGAAATCTGCAGGCTGAGTCTCCATGACCCATGAGTTAATTATCCGACTGGAGGGTTATCTGAATGACTGTTACATGAATTGGTCCCAAAGGTACAGTCACACTTACTCCAGTCACACTTACTCATCATGGACTCCAAGTTAACAAGCACTGCCCAGACTTGACAGGCTTAGGCAGGACTGGTCTGGTTGTCCACACACTGCGGTCCCAGCCTGCACTGCTCACAGCTGCTCAGGACTGAGCCAGCCTGGGCTTCCTCAACCTTCTTACATTGCATTCAGCACTGACCCTGCCAGGCATTGTAGTGGAAGCAGCTACAGCACCAAAACCAGGACAGGACAGGAGGAGATGACAGGAAGTGTCTCTGCATCATGCCTCAGACAACTGCAGGAGGACTTGTGAGATGGGACACAGCACGGAAGAGCTAGGGAGCCAGCTCAGGACCAGCAGTGGCCAATGCATCCCATTAGCAAGCAGAGCACCGGGAAAGAGCACCACAAGAGCACCGAAGAAGGTTTACAGCACTCATCGCTGTACCAGACACTGTACGTTGTACTCCTTGGAACAGCCTAAGTTATCCAGGATTTTCCTAGATACCACTGTCACACCTCACATCACTTACAGATACAAGAGAATGGGTTGAATTCTATTTGTGAATGTAGCAGAGCACACAGAAAGAAATGAAAAAGTGCAATAAATGGGATAAATGAGTAAATCTGAAATGTGTGTAAATTCTGTTAGTCCCATGCCATCACTTTTGAAGCATGAAGATGTAGCTGTGTGACTACAGCTGTGGCCATTCCTGTGATAAGGGTTACTTTTTTGAATTACGAGCCGCATGGGGAAAAAATAAAGATCACTGATAAACATTTGAGACCTAGATAATACTTATTAATTTATTCTGGGACTATAGTCAGGTCTAAGAATAAGCACAGACAGTGCTGGCTGGCAACATAGAAGATATTAAATTATTAGCGTAAGGCTTGTCTTCGTGCAAACTAGCAAAAATAAAAAAAAAAAGCCCTCGCACAAGGAAACATCCTAGATCTTGAGTATCTATGATCTCTGGCAAGGGAAAAAAATTAGCAAAACACCATATTTGTGTTAAAAAATAAAACATATTCCATCACCTGCAACTGTCTCTAAAAGTAAAAGCAAAACAGCTTAAGCAAAAGACCCTTCTCTTGTAACAGGTGTTCAAAAACTAACTACACATAAAACATGCTGGTACCCAATCAATTAACATACACCCAACCTTTAAGGTTAGAAATTAACAACATAAATCACAAAGAGTTTCTACGCTTTGTAAAACTAAATAAAAATCAAAGCACTTGAGTTAGCATCGATCATAAACTGAAATACTTGCTGCAACCCACCCCACCTCCTGAGAGATTTCACGGCAGATGCATAACATACTTATGATATAGTTACCAGGAACATATTTGCTGTTGCTTTCCAAAAAAGGGCCATCAACTCTGAATTAAGTTTTCTCCTCAAACTCTATGACATGATATCCTCCCCACCCAGCTACCACTCAATTTATGGTTTCGACCAGCTCTCCTGCCACATATACACTTTCAGCACGTTAACTTCTACGACTGCAAGCTTTACCCACTTTGTTCATTGCAGTAAGAGTCCTGATGTTTATTGACGTGCGTAGTGAACTTACTCAGGATCATGAGATGGGCCGGTCATCCCAACATCGGCATAAACCAGCGAAAGTTTCTGCTTTTGACAGTAGCTGTTGATCTTGGCCATACACTCACGCTCCATTCTGACACAATCTCAAAAACGGTTCTGCAAAGCAACATTCAAAGATATGTCTGTGCCTCCAGGCATAGTAGAGACAGGCCCTAATCCTGCTGCGATGAAAAATAGAAAACTGGTGCCAGTAAACTAAAGTTCAAGGAAAACTAGTTCTAATTTCTAAGTCAAGTGGTTGATCTGCAACTGTTTTTGAAGACTCATTGCTTGGAATGACAGATTTAGAAAGCAGAGCAGAGAATTTAGTGACGAGAGGAGATTTCTTAGCAGATTCCTTGGCAGGAAAAGGCTGAATCATTCACCGAATCCTGTGGGGGAAAAAAAAATCAGTAACGCTTCTCCAGACAGAATTAGAATCGATTCCTTCGGAGGGGAGCCAAGAGGCCGTTTAGCATACCCTTTCAAACCGCGGTGACTGCCAGGCTCGGTGACG